CTGCTAAAAGGAAGAATTTTCAATTTTCTTTAAGGGACAGGTAAATCTAACTGCACTGCAATTTGGAGTACTACTAAAAAAGCAGTACTACTTAAACTGCAAGGCTTGTTTCTTTTAGCACATGGTCTCTAGAAATCTGTTGTACGTACCTTAAAACTTTTCCGTCTGTTATAGGTTGTTTGTTGTTAAGAGTGGTCCTTTACTCAATCTGGAAATCAATACAAAATTTTCAGGTAGGGTCTTGTGCCAGTTTGCAATTATCTCATTCCATGCATACTGAATATGGTGGCTTAGGTGTTGGATTAGTTCCTTGTGCCTTTTCCTAAATGACCTTTAAGCATTTATTGTAATAACAATGACACTTAATCATATCTCAGCTTGAGGGTGTCAGTGTCTCTTGTATGCCAACAAAACCAATTAAATTAAATTGAATGAAGCAACAAATTTGAATAAGGATTTGAGATACAACAAATTAATGTATTCACCTCTAAGTTTCCTTTTCTTCTTGGAAAAAGCACTTTGGATACAGCAGAAAACGTGTGTTTAAAGATAGGCCTGAAAAAGGGGAGATTGCTAGTGTGGAAGGAATCTCACTTGGCTCTTCTAATATGAATGAAAAGACTAATTTGCAAATGGAAATTACTTATGCCTCAGCATCAGACTTCTGAATGACCAAGGAAGTGAAAAAATGGGGTGTTCCAAGTTTTGTTGATCTGAGCTTTAGTTGAGAAGTGGAGGATTTTGTAGTTACTCTCAAAAGTGATGTACTACATTTACATGTTTTGACACTTTTCTGCAGCATAGAGGTAATATTATACGCTCTGTAAATTTATACTGAATCAGTTGTTTCACATTTGAATGCATTTAGATGTAAATGCAAGCTTGTCTGGACCAGCTTCATCTGCTTTGCCATAAGGATGGGTTTATGTTGAGGGAAGTCAGAAGGGTGCTAAAACTGACCTTTATAAAGGTCTTTCTGTTCCAGTCTGAGGAAAATGGTAAAAGTGGAACTGTTTGTTCCAAAGAGCTAAACTTGCAAATTTGAACTTCCAAGATACTTGGGCCTTTGCTCAATGAACTTTACATCTTGATTATTAATGCTGGAGGATGAACTGCCTTCTTGTTCCATGTTGCATGTTTTCTAATGCTGATTCCATGTTAGTGCTACTAGGAACTGTTGCAAGGTACCTTAAAAATTATCCATGGAGTTCACCTGTACAATCCCAGCATGGGGAGTATACCAAAATGATGTGCTTAATTGCAAGTCTGACTATGTGTGAGAGCCCGGACTTTTCCAGATGTTTATTGACTTGAGGGAGCATAATTAAGCATGTGGTAACTTTTCTTCCCTTCTGTAAAGTAGTTAAGGAATGAAGCACTATATGTAAACATGTTCAATATTACTGCACTACTGGTACATAGAATTTCATTTCCCTTCACCCCTTTAAATAATTTAAAAGAAAAGTGCTCCTTATGTAACAGCTGGACAGCTGGTGTATTTGTGTTGAGACAATGTTTACTATTTCTGACTGTCTTTTGAAGTATTATATACAACAGTACAATGCCTACTCAAGGTAAAAGGCCGCTTTCTAGTGGAAAGAATTGGTGACTGAATTTGTTGTTCATCAGGACAGTATTTTGCTCTTTTTCCCCATCTTGGTGCCTTGAATTTTGTATACCTTGTAGAACACATTGAGAGACACTCTTCAGATCTACTTGGCCTGGTTAGAAGGGAAAGATGGTATTAATGGTAAGATTGTGTGTTGAAAGACAATGGGTTATGTAGGCCCCAAGGCTTAGCTATGTCAAATTTTATCAGGTTATGTTTTGTCTTAGTCTATAATATGAGCTGATCAGGCATCCATGAATCTCTGCCAGTAGTGACCACACTTATATGTCATATACTTTTGCTTCTGAGTTTAACCATTTTAGAAACTTGATGTACTTGCAAAATACCAACCACAGTGTTTTTGTTATGGTAAAGGTGTCTTCTTCTGAAGTTATGAAGGAAGGACTAACAAAATAAATTTAAAATAGGATGAAGTGGTCCAATTCATGGGTTTATAGCTTGTAATTTTAAAAATCAAGTCTAATACTTCATTACTTTCCATTGTAGCATGCGTCTCTAATCTGTCAAATGCTGCTTTGAATACTTTGTGAACTGATTTGTTATCTTGGTGACAAGATCTATCCTTCTTTCATCGTACATGTTCTTATAGTGCAATGTGTTGAATGCTTTCATTTTTAAAGGTAATTTTAATTTTACAGGCTAAACAGTAATTCTAAAATCCCAGTTTTTCCTCTTAAGATTTGACTAAGTAACAGTACAGCATAAATAAAAAAAAAAAAAATTTAGACACTTGACTTGTAACAGCATGGTGATGGACACATACGTCCAACTTAGATGTGAAGATTGAAGCTTACAGTGTTACTTGACCTCCTGAGGTGATTAAGTACCAGCATATAAAAAAATACACTTGAACCTTCCCATCCTTTTAGTATGTATTTTAACAGACACTCACGGTAGCTTGAGTTTTAGTGGAAGATGGGAGGAAGAAGTGATCAATGGCATGGCAGAATAACCTATCAGTCTGCTGTCCTGTGGATGCACATTAAAGCTTCATATCCAGAGGCTGCCTAAATCCCTCCTGTTGATCTCTTACTAATCCCTGTCATCATCCGGCATAGACCATGCAAGAACTTGTCCTAGGTTAACCAGTGGCACTCCATTGGAAATGGTAACCAAATAGAAAATTAACTGGTACTTGTAGCAGCAGGTGTGACAAGATTTTTGCATTTCAGTGGCCCTTGGTGGTGGCTAAAGAAATGATGGGGTAGGGACAGTATGGGGTTTTCACCTGGGTTTGCAGCATGGAAGTGTAGAGCAGTAACTGCAGGTACTCATTCTGTATGGGGAAACAGGATAAGAACTTTTCCTTGTCCTTGGACTTTAACTTCACACCTGCAAATGAATGACTGAAATAAAAGGTTTTTATAGGGAAGGTACTGTACTATCTACTGTATGTTCTTAGAAGTTGAGTATGTCTATTAAGGCACTAGGTACCTACCAAATAGGCTACTGCTCTGCCTTCTCAGAGATTTTTGCTAAATATCCTGTACTGTGGCTGGATTTTAGTAAGCCTTGAGCATGCACCTGAATCAGTGTAAGCTATGCAACAGTTGTACTGTTACAGATTGTTAGCTAGATTGATATTCCTACTTCTAAGTAATTACATAGGAATTTCATATTCAAAATGATTCATGTGTGCTTTAAGAATAAATAACGTTGCAGGCTTGTGATGCTGTGAGCAGAGCCATGTATGCAGTAAGTGTCAGTTGCTTTCAAAGCTGCATGTCAGACAAGAAATACTAGAATCTGTACATGCATATAGGCATGAAACAAGGACAAAAAACACTTAGGGAACAGGAGGGGGTTTGCTGAGTTTGGAAGCCCTTCCATAGTTTCTGGCTGTGCTTTTGGATGGCTGTCAAAATTTATTTTGGTGGTACAACTTTGAGTCCTGCAAAACCACAAGAGAGCAGCTCATTTCCTTCTTTGCCATCAGGAGTCTCTACTTTGAGGGCAGTAACCTACTGGTTATGACGAAGAGTCATACCTACTGAGTGCAGCCCGAGCATTAAAATAGTGTGAATGTGCAGCAACACCTGATAAAGCTGTGAAGGAAGGTGCTAAATCATAACGTATGGCTCAGCATACAAATTATGTGTTACTTTATTTTCTAGTGAAGTTTGAAGTTAACATTATACTTTATAGGAATTTTGCTTTTCTAGATACTTAGCTTTAAAACTGAGAAAAGTGCTGTTGAATGATACAGTTGTGATGCTAATCTTCATTGTGCAGTAGAAATCCTAATGCATAGGGACTAGCTGTTCAACAGGACAGTAAACTGAAAACCGTTTTTTGAAATAAGAAGAATAAGATTTGCAATAAGAACTGATCTCTCTTTTTTTAAAAAAAAATAAAGCAAAAATGCATACTGTTGAGGTTTTGCCTTTTTTTTTTTTTTCTTTTTTTCAAAAAGGCTTTATTCTGAACATTGTTTCTCTGAACTGCTTGTAATGTTTAACCTGTGTAGGTTGAAATACCTGTGTAGTGAGAGAAACTGTGGTGTTAAGTGTACAGTCAGCAATGGAAAAAACGCCTACGTTTCACAGGTCCTGAAACCTCTCATTCCACTGATACAGTGGTGCAATTATTGAAGTTTATTTTCTGTAACAAGAAACAAGACAGATATTACTGGTAGACCTGTTCCAGCTTCTTTGTAGTTCTGTGAGGTGTTGATCTGCTTTCAACAGCAGCCAGTGAAAATTTGGAACATTCAGAAGAATTATGCAGTATTTTTCCATAAATTTAGATATTGTTGCTCAGGCAAATGCTAAGAATTTGGGGGGTGTGTGTTCCCGTGATGAGAGGACAGGTATAAAATAAGTGACAGTGTGCTTCAAAACAGAGGTGAAGAAAATGCTTTAAAGAAAGTGTTGGTATACAGTGAGCCTGGCTTGAATATCTTTTACTTCAACTTGAACATATAGTTCTTAAGTCAATGTCTATTTTGCTAGACTGTGGGCTAAATGGCCAGGATGTCCATCAGTATTAGTTGTGCTTATGCAGCTGGGTCATAGGAAGAGATCCTTTTAAATACTGTGCCACAGCTTCTAAGGTGTATATGCAGCAAGCAAAATCCGTGGGCTTGGTGAGTGTTCTGTAACAGTTGCCAGTACTAGATACTGCCAAGGGGCTTTTTCTTTTTGCAGACAGTTTTGTTGATACTTGGTTTGTACCTCATTTTGAGAGGGATAGATGATGCATACCTAAGCTTAGGTACAATTATAGTAGGTCCAGCTGACTACCTACAGTGGGCATTATTTGAAGGAATAATTCTAAACGTAAAGCTTTTTCCTCTTTCTCTACTTCATACTGCTGTCCTACTCCCCACTCTCCAGAATGTTTCTCAATCCAATTTTTTGTTGTATTTCAGGGAATACCTTGGAAAGCAGTTGCAGTCAGAACAACCTCAAACGGCCACCGCACGGAGCTAAACAATTCCGTCAGTTCATGTTTATAACTACAGTATGTCTTTAATATCAAGGAAACACTGAAATCATCCCATGTTCTTTGCCTGATACTAGTGCACAAACTTTCCAGCTTTCCTCCAGTGTTGTTGGCTTAGTAAAAACTCGTTTGTTCAACTAGTTCTGATGATTATGCCTCTTGGCTTCCTGTTATATTCTGAATGTATATGAGGAAGTGTTGCTAAAATATTGTGTTTGTTTTATGTATTTATTCTCATAATAAAGAATATTATTAAAGGATAATCATTCCATGTTATAATTAGCCTAGAAGAATTGTTCTCATCTTTTAGTGGGTTATCAGGGTTGTCACCTTCCAGGAAAAACAAGTAGTGCCTGTATGTCTCCAGACAAAGTAATAAAGATATTCTGTAGGAAATGCAGCAGCCTGAGAAATGTTGATTAACAGTCCTAAAATACATACCAAGTCTCAAAATAGTGTTAAAATTGTATATAAAAGCAAATGTATGGAGTTTTTTGGGGTGGGGTGCTCCTCTCTTGTTAGAGACTACATTAAAAAATCTGGATGTGAGAAGAGGAAAAGAAAAAAAACATTCCTCTAATGAAAATTGATCCACTTAAGATTATTAGTCAAGCTGTGTAATGTCAGTGTTAAGGCTGTAGATCAGAGATCAAGTTGTGTGGTTTTTTTTTTTTTTTAATAACAAATGTGCAGTAACGAATGAACTTGGAATTTCCTGGCATGTTTTTGTTATTGAAATACTTGTAAATGTTAGGGTTCTGGTGTCATTCTAAAATCTATTGTATTTCCTTTATATTAGCTAAATAATTTGGCTAACAATCTTTTCTGTATTTTGTAGCTCCTGATAGTAAAAAAGATGTATGCATCAATAAATCAAAGATGATATTGGATTGACATGTGAAAACAGTCTTGTTGCATATAGAAGAGCTTGGCTCCAGGAACTTGCAACACTAAGCAGTTAATATTCTTTAGTTCATTTTTAGAATGGAAGAAAAAAAAGATGAGGGAACAAGACATAATCTCGTTGGTTGTCTGGTGTGGTCCAAGTCTCTGAGGAAGTTTAGGGTACTTTGTCATCAAGTCAAAAAAGAAAATTTGGAAAACTTTTCTTACATTGTCTGGATTTTCATTATATATAACTAAAATTTGACCACTGTTCCAAGGGAGAGAGAAGACTTTTATGGGATGACAGTTTGTGATGATTTCTTATCTTGCTTAATTAAAATTGGATTGTGTAGATTAATGACTGTTGCTTACTTCTGCATATAGGAGGCATAAGCTTTGACACTGAAGTTCATATCATGGAGATAGATGCTGAAGCCTGAAAAGAATTAAACTGACTTTAGCTGGAGTGGGGGTTATCTGCATGGTTCTTCTCTCAGTGCTGCACGTTGCCATAGTGATGAGGAATACTGGTGGTGTGAAAAGCTGTTGGGAGAACAAGTGTGCACCTACACTGCCAGTTTTATCTTGGGTCAGTTGAATGCTCTTGGAATAAATCTGAGTCTTCCCTGCTTTTCACACTTCAATTTGCATCACATGATGGTGTCAGCGCATGAATGGGGTTCTTCTCTGATAAAGCTAAACTGCAGGACATACACTCTGTGTGTCTTGGCTACTTGGCAAGTGTTCAGTCCACTGGACCAGCTAAGATTTTACTTGAAGTATGGCCCTTTGAAATGCACGCAGAGTGAAAACTGGATTCTTAGTGCCAAACGTCTTGCTCTACAAGTCAGATTCTTGTGTCACACTTCTTGCTGATGTAAGCATAACCTAAGACTTATCTTGAAGATGCTGTAAAAGGTTGATCCTGTGGTTACAGCTGTAATGTTGGGCACAAGAACCATGACAGAGCATTAATGGGGAAGGAATATACCTCCACCTTCAAAACCAGAAGTGTTCCTCTTTTGAATGGTACACTGAAGGATGGCTTGGTAAGGGATTTGGGTGGGTTTGAGTTGTATGAGTAAAAATTACGATGGCAACTGTCCTATTTTTTTGGAGACAGAAATAGCCAACTATTCATAACATGAAATAAAATTGCTTACAGGGGTTATCCTGAAACATCTATTGTGTTCACATATTACACAAATCAATTATTCTCTCTGCTGCTTTGCTAGTATTAATCATAGAATGATTTGGGTTGGAAGGGACCTTAAAGCCCATCCAGTCCCACCCCCCTGCCCCGGGCAGGGCCCCCTTCCCCCAGCCCAGGGTGCTCCCAGCCCCGTCCAACCTGGCCTTGAACCCTTCCAGGGAGGGGGCACCCACAGCTGCTCTGGGCACCCGGGGCCAGCGCCTCACCCCCCGCACAGGGAAGAATTTCTGCTTTATATCTAGTCTAAATCTACCCTCTTTCAGTTCAAAACTGTTTCCCCTCATCTTATTACTACACTCCCTGATAGAGTCCCTCCCAATGTTTCCTGTGCATAGTTTAATTCTTTATTATGTGGTCTCTTTCAAAGATATGTGATACCCAGTGTTCTGCAATCAGTTAGAAATAAGTTTGTCGGAGATAGAAGAAATGGTTGTGATGTTTCACTTGTGTCAGTACTGCACACTGATACTCCGGTGCTCAAGGCTTGTGATCTCAGGGAGATCATGCCAACAACTGTAGAGTAAGAAGCCTGGAAACCTCTTTTTTTGGGGAAGGGGGTTGGATGATGTAATGGATGACCTTTCTGTGCAGCCAGTAATTTGGACTGTGAAGTTTCCAGAGCTGAGCTTTCCACAGGAGGTGGAGTGCTCAGTGTGTGCTAGAGGTTGTGTGGAATCTTGGCATAGCAGGTTGCTGCAGAGCAGTTGCTAGCTGTAGGTGCTCCATCTCCCATCCCATGGTAGGCCTGTATCTGTAGGTGCTAGAGGTCCTTGGATCCCTGGTCCCAAGAGAGAAAACAGGGCAGAGCTGTCCTGGAGCTTTCAAACTTTGAAATCAAAAAACAACCAAGAGCTTTTGTTGAATTTCAACTAATTCATAAAACTTTCTACTGCATCTGGTTTTTGTCTGGCAAGTTATAATTAGCTTTAGCTTTTGCTACTGAACACTGTTTTTACTATTCACCTGTTTATCTTAGCTCACTTAACTTGCTCAGCCTCATTCTCCCAAAATCTGGCATGGGGCAGGTAGGCAGATGCCATTGTGGCAGATTGAACGCTTCAGGGCTCTGTGAGAAGTGTGAGTAGAGCTCAGTGTTCGGAAGAGAAGTGTGTGCCAGCAGCTTCCTTCCTTCCCTCTGGTGACATGAAGATTTAGAGATGACTGGAGATTAGCTGTCACGGACCAGATGACTAACTTGCTTTTAAAGCGAGGAGATGCAGTTACCTTCCTCCAAATCGGGGTAATCAACCTGCTCTTTATTTTTCTAAATTTTCCTAGTTTTTGTTTTCACTCTTATGTTGCATCCAAGAGTAAAGGGAGTTTAATTTTCCTATAATACAAGTAACTGAGCCTTTGAAATCTTTATAAGCTGACTTTAAAGTTTTGCATTTGATGTTTCTTTTGCTTTTCTTGATACATCTGCTTAAGTGATTTTCTTAAACTTTGGCCTCAGTCTGCAGTCTAAATGGGATATAAATTTGAGTAAGTTTGCAAGATGCAGCAACTGTGAAAAGCATTTAAACCTGTTGCTACTCAATGCATGAGGGATGGAGGGGAAGCATGACCAGGAACAGTACTGACATCTGGAACTATGGCATGAAAATGCTTTAATCATATGCTTGGTGCATGTTTATTATTCCCACAAGCCATCTGAGATCTTAGGCTGAAGTTGCATGAAGGGGAGGCCAGATCTTGGTCTTGACCAGTGTGAGCTACCCTGCTAGAAACAAGCCAGGGCCGAGCAGGGCCTGGGCCCTGGATGTACCACGCTGTATCAAACCTCTCTTCAGTATCTCATCAGAATTGCAAAAATGTCTTTGTCCACATGTGTGAAAAAATGGAGATTGTCAACAATTTCTAATATATCAATATGTTTTTTGTGAATATGACATGCTAGTTTTAGCCCTGTAAGTGACAAGGGGTCAGAATGAATACTATTGACTCATGTCTATCCTAAAGGTTTTGCTTTTCCCTTTGGTAGCTGCTGTAGAGCAGTTGTGAGTTGTCCTTTTAGAACCACATGCTGCATCAAGAGTTGAGAACAGAGCTAGCACTCTCACGATGATCAGGTACACTATTAATTATATTTACTTTTCTTAGGCTCGTAAATGATTACTCAAAAAGTTTGAACTGCTATTGAAATTTTCAAATGGCCAAGAGTATCATCATTCAAATATCACATAAAGCAGCAACCTTGCTTGCAAATGTTGGGTACAGCATTTGGGGAGTTACCTGGGAACTCTTCTTTCCTTGGGGTATGCATATTTCATCGGTACAGCCCATTCTGAGATGCATCAGACACTGCTGAACACAAATGATGTGCTAAAACCTGTCAGTATCCCTTCTTCAAGAATACTTTTCATTACCTGCACCTTGGCCTTACTGCTGCTTGTAACATAAATTACAATAAGGAGCCTAATAAAAACCAGTAATGGAATAATGGCTGACTGATGCAGAGTGTCTTGTTTCTGTGACTTGTTTGTATCCAAGAACACTTTTGTGCTCAGGAATGTAATTTTTCTTGGGGGGGGTTCTTAAAAAGGAAAAAAATCGGTCAAATAAAAGCAGGAGTTTAACCTGGTAATCTCAGAGATTGCACAATTTGTCCCTCTGTTCTGCCAATTGACAGGGTTAACACAAAGGACACAGACACCAAGCTAAAGAAATAGGCTTATTTTACTTTAGTTTAAAGCAGCAGAAAGAATAAGCAAGGTAACGCACCTAGTCATTACTACATAAAGCTGGGTATAGTGATTAAGAAAGATCCATCACCAGTTGCCCTCCTACTTGACCATCCCCCCGCCCCGTGCACCAGCTGGGGAGCCCCGTCCCAGCGAAGGGTCGCAGAGCCTTTCCCGGCAGCTGGGAAGCCCCACGCAGGGCGCCCGCTCGTAGGGGAGGTCTGCGTCTGTGCTGTGAGAGGGCCCGGCTTTTGTACAGTTTAACAAACAAGTCTAAACAAAATGCACAGGAGATATCTGGTAGATTGATGTGCCTCAGTCAGGCGTGTCCGGATCTGGCCAGGATCCGGGCATGTCTGAGGAGTTTCTGTTTTTCTTTACATTTGGGATTTATAGTTACTTCCTATTGTTTACTTATAGTTCCCAGGGATTGTTTCCGGGGTTATATTTTCACACTGATAAGATGCTGGTTGCTTCATGCTGCTGATGAGATGCTGGTTGCTGGTCGGGGAATTCACTCAGAAGTCAACCTTGGTTCGAGGCCTACTGTTTGGGCCCCCTTTTTTTTTTTTTTCTGTTTCAATCGGTCCTTTGACTTATGAGTGAAGATCACGACCCTTTTGGAAGAGCCCAATATGTTCACTCTATCCATTTGATACGATACCATACATAACAATTATATAAAGTAATAATAATAATGATAACTAACAATATTACAAGAGGATGTATTAAGAAATTCAACACTTGGGTTGCAGAGGGTGAATATCCAGTAAAGATGTCCCACCAGTGGTGTGCAGTCTCCTTCTCCATCTGGCTAGCTAGCGACATTAGTTGATTCTTTGTGATTACAGTCTGTATCACAGAGTCTGACAGAGTTTTATTTCATTGTTCCAGGTGTCTTCGCAAATGTTCTGATTGTTCCATGATGGTTTTCAGTGGAGTCAGGGATAAGCTGATTCCATTAAGTCCTAAGCTTTGGGGATGCCAGTGCATGTTTAGTTGTTCTTCATGCGTTGAATAAAAAGTATACATCTGTCCGTGCCAGATGAGATAGAATACGTTTCTGAGGCATCCTGAAAATGGAGTAGTTAGATTATACATTCCTATAATATTTTTATCATTTGTTACTATACAAACATGCTTAGCACTAATTTCTACAAACATATCAAAGATTTTGGGCAAAATTGTCCATTTACACAGATTCACTGAATGTTCCAATAAACATGGTTCATATAACCGCGAGCTTTGTCCACACAGTAAACCATTTGCTGTGGACGTACACAAATCTAATTTATGAGTTCGATTCCTAGAGTCTATATAATCTCCCTCCAAGTGGGGCAGCCAATATTCTGGTTCAAAGGGTGGTTTTTCCCCAAAAATTACAGGCAGTACTAGAAATTTACACATAACTTCAGGTTGGCTAACATCGTAGTGGACTATTTGACCAGCACAGAATAAATCTGTGCACTGCACTGTCTGTGGAGATAATTTGACCCAATGGGTTTGAGGAATCCATTTCTTAAATATGTTTCTCCATAACAGCTCATTATTAGCCAGTAAGTCACTCTGAGCTTTGTTTCATTGCATAAGGACATGTAAAGTCTGCAGTGTACATGTTGTCCAATTCATAATCTGGCTAATGTTGTGGTCAACATGCCACTGATTAATTTGAGTCCTATTGAAGAGCTTTAAAAATTCTGTATCATAGTTCAGTGACCCAATTTGTGGGGTAAAGGTAGTTGGAAGCCACTGAGCCTGCAACCTAATTCCTTCCGCCACATCATAACCAGCATTCTTTACTTTGTTGGTTAAGGTTTCGATATCAATAGAATTTAAAACTCCCATTCCTGCCCCAGTTCCTCCTAACAGGGTGTCATACCATGCCCTTTTTCATCTACATGATGGTAGCAGGGGGAAAGAAATATTGAAATGAATAACATGTTTCTGATATTGTTGAGCTACCTGAACACAAGTAGACGGAATGCGGTACAAATGATCAACAGAAATATGAGGTTTAGATTTTAACATAGTAAAGAAGTCTCCCCAGTGTAACCGATTTTTCATTACTGAATTATTATGGCATATTAGTGTTTCTATTTCTTCCATGGGAAGAGTTATTGCATGAGCAGCATTCACCTCATGACCATCTGTTCGATTAACACATTTGTAATAATCTTTCGAACTGGGCAGACCTGATACATTACAACATTTAAGAGATACTTTACTAGATATAGTGACATTTAAATTATCTGTAGGACAGGTTACAAAAAGACGTCCATGATCTCTCCATCGTGATGCCGGTCCTGAAGGTCACCAGTATGTACATGTTTCGTTATACTGAGTACTGAAAGTAAGATTGGCTATGATACAGGCAGAATTGGCTTTGCATCGGAAATCATCCTCTTGTCTTGTCTTGGTTGCATTTTTCCATTGCCACCTAAGCGGTGTCTCTCATGGACCTTCCAGTGGCCATCCTGGTGTGAAAGCCTTTCCCAAATGGACTATGATGATACACAGGCAAATCCATCCTAGCAGGATCTAAAAGATAGAATCTTAAGACATCTAGTTATTCTCACAGAAGACATTTAGTTGCAGGAACATATTCCCATTTTTCCTGTCCAGGTTTCATGATTAAAACAGTATTGTCTTTTCCTGTGGCTATTACTTCAGCTGGTTCAGGAGGTCTGCTTGAACTCTGGACCCATACTTTAGCTCCATTATTGAAATTAGTTGATCCAAACCCTTTATCTCCACAGTGATGACTTCAGGTGGTTCCCCTTTTTTCACAATTGCTTTCAAAACTGGCAATATCAATAGTTGTGCTATTCTGTCATGGGGATGAATAATCAAATCTTGTTCACCATTGTTTGACAGAATTACTTTAATTTCTCCTTGATAATCCGCAACAATCACTCCTCCCATGACATGAATACTTTTCAAGGCTAGGCTCAAATGGGCAGTTATCAAACCAAAGTGTCCCGGAGGAATTTTAATTCCTATCCCGGTATTGATAACTTTCATCTGTTTTTAGTTTATCCTGATCAATTCCAATGCATAGAGATCTAGCCCTGCAGCCTCTGGAGTGGCCCGGTAAGGGGCCATCGCACCCGGAACAATTTCCCAGTAAGTCAAGGTCTCACTTAATGTCAGAGGTTTTATTTGTAAATTGGGTGTAGTCATGCGCATTAGAGGGGTTTCCATTTCCCCAGTGGGCCTATTGTTAAGAATATGTAGCGCATCTGTGAGATGAGTTTTCCATCAGGATAGGTTCCCATCTCCTAACTTCTTCAGCTGCTCTTTCAACAACCCATTCATTCGTTCAATCAATCCTGCAGCTTATGGATAGTATGGTATATGAAAAACCCACTGAATATTTTGCTGCTCAGCATACTGTTGAACAAATTTGTTTCGAAAGTGAGACCCATTGTCAGTTTGAATCTGTAATGGAATTCCATACTACAAAATGATGATGCCTATAGTACAGATAGTACTATGATGAGTAGTTTTCTTACAAGGATGGGCAATCAAATATACAGAATATGTATCTACAGCAGTGCAGACATATTTACACCCTAGGTTCTGGGGAAAAGGTCCGATATAATACATTTGCCAAATTTGTCCGGGCAATTTTCCTCTTCCCAGTTGTCCTTTCACAATATTAGGCACTGGACGTTTGTGAGTATGTTGGCACACGGGGCACTGGGCGATTATAGTTTTGATGATATCAAGTGACACTGTTATGCCACGCTCTTGGGCCCACCTGTAAGTGGCTTTCTCTCCAAGGTGCCCACACTTTTGGTGTGCCCATTTTGCCAAGCCTTCATGATCCTCCTTCTGAGGGAATTCTAATCCAGCTTGGGAAATCTTTGCCCGGTTGTCTACAACAGAGTTATAAAGTCGTTCTAAAGTGTCCACATTACTATGAGCATCAACATGAAACACAGACACCTTAGTCCTCTGTACTATTTCCCAAATATCCTTCCACAATTCCTTTCCCCAGACTTCTTTGGAGTATGTTTTCCAATCTTTGGCTACCCATGTTGGCAGCCAAGTAGCTAACCCATTAGCTACTGACCAGGAGTCAGTATATAAATGACATTCTCCTAGGTCTTCTTGTTTCAAGGCCATATAAGCTGCATATAATTCAGCATACTGGCTGCTTTTCCCTTCTCCTGTAGTTTCTAAAAATTTTTCTAGATGGGGATAGTAAGCTACTGCTTTCCAAAACCTCTTCCCTCCTATATACTTAGCTGATCCATCAGTGAACCAAGCATGTTCCCTTTCAGAGGGTGTCAATTGGTCGAAAGCTTTTCCCCATCGTACTGGGGATTCCCGTTCAACTGTGAAATCAGGGTTCATTTCTTCATCACCTGTGGGGGCAGTAGCTACTCTCGTGGAGGGTAGCTACTCCACCAACCCCTACCTTGGCCCTATCCTGAATATACCATTTCCACTTTATGATACTTGATTCTTGAGCATGCCCAATTCGATGGGTTTTAGGAGAGCTTTTAACCCATTGCATGATAGGAATTTCAGGACGAAGGGACACTTCATGTCCTATCGTAAGCTGCTCTGTTTCTACCAACGCCCAATAACATGCTAATAGTTGTCTCTCAAAAGGTGTATAATTGTTTCCTGCCTCTGGCAGCTTTCGTCCCCAAAAACCTAAGGGAAACTTTTTCTTTCCCTGTTTTTGCCATAGGCTCCAATTAGCATGTAATCCATTTACTGACACATTTAACTCAACTTCTCCCTCCTGCAATGGCCACAAATCTAGGGCCTTTTGAATAGCTTCCTTTGCTGACTCAAAAGCAGCTTGCTGTTCATTCCCCCATTCAAACTCATATATTTTCCTTGTTACTTTATACAAAGGAGTCAGAATCTGTCCTAAATGGGGAATATGCTGCTGCCAAAATCCAAACAATCCAATAAATCTCTGTGCCTCATTTTTATTTTGAGGTACTGCAAAATCCAAAATTTTCTGTCGAGCTTTGGGTAATATTTCCCGATGCCCACAATGCCATTGAATTCCTAAAAATTTTACCATTTGGGATGGTTCTTGAATCTTGTTAGGATTAATTTCCCAACCTTTCTGTCTCATATGATCTACCACCTGTTCAAGTATTTGTTGCACTTCCTTCTCATTGTTTCCCTGAATTAGAATATCATCAATATAATGCACTATTTGCCTATGAGGAGGCAATTTTATCTTATCCAGATGCTCAGCCACTGTCCGATGGCAAACGGTTGGACTATGCAGCCATCCCTGAGTCAATCTGGTAAAGGTACACTGTCGTTCCTGCCAGGTGAAGGCAAATTGGTCCCAATGCTCCTCTGCAATTGGGATAGTGAAAAAGGCATTAGCTAAATCTATTACAGCAGACCAAGTCCCTGGATGCTTTCGAACCTTTTCTATTAAAGTAACAGTGTCTGGTACAGCTGCTGTAAGTGGTGGGGTGTGTTTATTTAATTCCCTAAAATCTACTGTCATTCTCCATGACCCATCACTTTTCTTGACAGGCCATACCGGATTGTTCCAAGCTGTGGTAACTGGTTTCAATACTCCTGCATCTAATCAATCTTTAATTGTCTGTGATATCTCCTCAGGCCCTCCTGGAATTCTATATTGTTTCATAGTCACTAATTTAGTAGCAGCAGGAATCTGTACAGGAGGCATTTTCACTTTTCCTACTAAAATTGTTCTAATACTGATATGATCTTTCACCACAAACTGGTACTGACCGTCTGGGAGATTCAAAGTTAGTCCCTTCAAAATGTCTATTCCTGTTATGTATTCAGGAATGGGGACAATCATGACTGAATACAGTTGTTTTGGGAGGTTTCCTGTTTTCATTTCAATTTGAGTTTGTACAGCTTCAATTTGTTTCCCTCCCAGACCTGTAATAATTACAGGTTGTCCTTTAAATTTCTTTGGATTCCCATATATCAAGGAGGCCTCCGCTCCTGTGTCAATTAAGGCTTTTACTGTTTGTGAGGACCGGCTTTTCCAAAATATTTGGACCTCCACATGGGGCTGTCGGTCCTTCCGTGTCCATTGCACTGGAGCTTGGCCATAATTTCATTCCTGTTTACTACTCTGGACAATTTCCCTAGTCTCCTTCCGTGGGTATAAATCAGAATACAGCTCCCAATCCTCCCTTTCCCCCGGAACAACTGATCTGCCCATGGAGGGCCCACCGTGTGCAGATGGGAAGTCCCGTTGGGGCTCAGGAGGAGGTGCTGTAGGCTGAGTTACGCCTGGATTCTTAGTTTCAGAACTCTGCACTCTCCCGCTAGGCTTATTCAGCCCTCTTTGTTTGTATATTTGCCACAGCTCATTAGTTGGAACACCATCAATCTTTTCACGAGATAGGCCATCCTTCAATAAAGCTGTAAGCATTTCCTTGTGAGAAACTCTGTTCTCACTTCCTTTAGGGCTGTCCCGAGTATCTCGGTTTCCTGCACTTCCTTGGGGTCTCCATTCTCCAAGATCACCTTGCTGCTGTATTTTTTCAATTATCTCATCAGTGGGATTTCCTGTCTCGTTAATTAAGAGAGTCATTATTACATTTTTATATGCTGGTGGGGCAGTTTTAATCAGTTGGTTTCTATGAGTGACAGACAAGGCAGCTTGCATCATTCTGTCAGGGTCTCCTATAAAGATTGCCAATTTCATCCCTTCTTCCTTCATCCGCTGTATACAATCTCGCAAAGTACACCAGGGACGTTCCCCACCTGGCCAGTCATTCTCCATGGGGTATTTATTCTAACATCCCCGGGTGGCCAAGGTTAACAAATTTGTATCCTGAGGATTATTTCGGAATGCATCTTGCACAAAGGAGTCAGAACTCAAAACTAAAAACTTCCTAGAGTCCCCTGGATGTAGGGGTACCCCTGCTGCTCCCTGATCGTGCAAACGCACCATCCAAGAGAGCAGGGGTTCCCCCGGTCTCTGCTTAAATCTTTCAATTATATCATTTATTTCATGCTGAGTATAATCTTCAGTCACATCCTTCCTTACTTGTTGCCCATTAGAGTCCAATTCTATTTTCCGTCTCCACACTGGTTTTACATCCACAGGTTCATCTGAGGAACCAGCCTCATCAGAACCTGTAGAATCCCAAATATCTCCATCCCATCTGTTAGGATCCCACTGTACCCCTGCTTCTGCAATCACAGCATGCACTTTCCTATGGTTTACTCGTCCCCTTCTTTTCTTATACTGTGCAACTCTTACTGCAGCTCTTTCAGCGACAGTCTGATAAGGATCCAACTTAACGGCAAGCAACTTTTTTTGACACTGTAACATTACAATTTGACTCTGCAACTCACACATCTGTCGCTCCATGTGGGAGCGTTCTAACAACAGTTTTTCTTTGTGTTGGGGCTGTTTCCGATATGCTGTTAACAAAACCCATCCCCATCTTCCAGAACACACAATTTCTTTTCCTTTTTCAATAGATAATTTTTGGATACATTTTAATACATCCAATGGTTCATCTTCTTTTAGCCAACTTTCCCACTGTTCACATGGTCCTCCAACCTTAGCCCACTCAAGAGCCAGTGAACTATAGGGAAGGTCTTCTCATCCAGGAGTTTCAGATGGAGCTGATTCATTACGTTTAGATTTTAAAAATTACATTTTGTTCTTATCCTTTCCGTGATGCCAAATTTGTTCTGCCAATTGACGGGGTTAACACAAAGGACGCAGACACCAAGCTAAAGAAATAGGCTTATTTTGCTTTAGTTTAAAGCAGCAGAAAGAATAAGCAAGGTAATGCACCTAGTCATTACTACATAAAGCTGGGTATAGTGATTAAGAAAGATCCATCACCAGTTGCCCTCCTACTTGACCATCCCCCCGCCCCGTGCACCAGCTGGGGAGCCCCGTCCCAGCGAAGGGTCGCAGAGCCTTTCCCGGCAGCTGGGAAGTCCCACGCAGGGCGCCCGCTCGTAGGGGAGGTCTGCGTCTGTGCTGGGAGAGGGCCCGGCTTTTGTACAGTTTAACAAACAAGTGTATACAAAACGCACAGGAGATATCTGGTAGATTGATGTGCCTCAGTCAGGCGTGTCCGGATCTGGCCAGGATCCGGGCATGTCTGAGGAGTTTCTGTTTTTCTTTACATTTGGGATTTATAGTTACTTCCTATTGTTTACTTATAGTTCCCAGGGATTGTTCCCAGGGTTGCATTTTCATGCTGATAAGATGCTGGTTGCTTCATTCTGCTGATAAGATGCTGATTGCTGGTCGGGGAATTCTCTCAGAAGTCAACCTTGGTTTGAGGCCTGCTGTTTGGGCCTTTTCTGTTTCACCCTCTATGTGAAAACTAAATCTGCAGAAGGGAACAATTAAGTTTTTCATGAGTCATCTTTGGTGCCATTATGTGCATATTCATGATATAATTTTTTCAAGGCTCTTCAGGTAGTTTGCCTGTCTGGATTCTGTGTAGAGACAAAACTGTCGAGCTGAAAATTTAAATAACTTTTTCAGTACCATCATAAACTATTTTAAAAAGGCTGTGCACGTCCAGCTCTGCCAAAAAGTGGGCAGAGAAATTGTGTAGCTGCATGTGGTGATGACAGTTAAAACCAATTGATTTGAAAATCACAGAACTGCTACAGTATCAGATTATTTTGTAGCAAGAAAACATGATAAATTACAGACTTAAAGGTCATCATTCTCTAGATAACTTGATGAAAAGGAAGTGTGCAAAACAAGCCTATTCTATCAGGTTCAGGTGGCTAATATACAGGTTCGGATTATGAGTTTGCCAGTGTCACAGCTCATTGGTTGTGGGTGCATGCAAGCACAGGGAAACATACTTTGGTCATCAATTAAAAAGATGAAATAATTTTGACATAAAACACTGAGTAGAAAAATAACCTTTAGAAATTACCAAAGTTGGATTTTTTGCTTTCAAGCTTTTTCTTGCAATTTTTCTTTTTTTTTTTTTTTTTTTTTTTTTTTTTTTTTTTTGCTAGGGGAGGTCACAGGATATTGTAATCTCAAACCATTTACAAAGAATCACTTTGTATCTGACTTCTCTAGCTAGCTCACTTGAACTGACCTAGTCCTTTTCTATCCAAATGTATGGCCATGAGACCACTGGTGAGGTATGGAAATCCATCTGGAATGTCTTCAATTGGTGAAGTCCTTTTACAGGAGAAATTCTTAGTGCAAAGAGCACAAATTGTACCTTCTGTTGTATTTCTGAATGTCACTCCACTCTTAGTATTTCAATTCTTTGTTATCTAGTTCTTTCTATATTATATTCTAATTCCTCTTAAAATTGGTAGTATTTTCCAATATAACTACATGGTGGTACTATACCAAGCAGGTGATAGATAGAATAAGGGAAATATTTTAGGAAAAAAGTTATCCTTCCCTGGTAAGAAAGAGCTATTTATGCCTCTTCTGTCTTGTATTTTACCTGTTTTCTTTATACATTCCAGTTCAAATTCTGTCATACTATTTCTAAAGGAAGAGTCAAGACTTTTATCCTATTGCTCTTAATCCAGAAAGTCTAAATCCAGATCACTTCTTTTTTTTTTTTTTTTTTTTTTGCACTTATAGACATTACATTTCCTACATTTTATCAGCCCTGACTTCTCATTCATTGTGCTGATTTTTTTTTTTTTTCTAAGAAATCTGGAATAGGATGAAATCTTCCCATAAAGAGAATGCATTAAGCTCCCTAGATTTTGTTTCTATGGAAGTTTCCATTTCCTTACCTTAATTTTATTAGCCCACCTAAATAGCCTTTAACCTGGGGCAAATCTGAGCCTATAATTTGTCTGCCATGCTGGGACTAGGCACTATAACTTCTTTATAACAGCCTTTTTGTCCTGCCATACATCTGCACCCTTTCTGGAGATGAAAGGAATTCTGTTGAAGATTGCTGGAATCTTCCTTTTTTGTGTGTCTTTGTTTCCTAACCCAGTACAGTAATTGCTAATTTTGATTAGAATCTTGCGATGTTGCAACTGAGTATGGAATACTCCATCAAACCAGTGAGATGTTTTTCATCCTCTGTTATCTGTCCTGTGTCCCTGCTCTCAATACACAGCCTCAATTTCCTATTAATGGGTTCACTGCACGAGAAAAAGTCCTCAAGTAATTTTTAGTTGTGTCTCTTGCACTGGGATGAACCTCTGGTCTTCTCTGGCTTTCCTTTCTTTTATGTAATCTCTGGCACTATTTTTTTTCTCCTATCCCTTCTTTTCTTTCTGCTTCTTCCTTCCTTTTTCTGAAGTGTTGAAAGACTGTTCTTTTCTCCGTCACTTGATGCCTCTTTGGCCACATAATTAAAGACCATTTTTCTCCCATGTTTGTGTTTTTTTTTTTTTTTGTTTTGTTTTTTTGTTTTTTGTTTTTTGTGGTTTTTTTTTTTTTTTTTTAACCTGTTGATACTGAGTTAACTGTTCTCCATTTCTTCAAAATTGCATAGGAACTCCATTTCAAGATCCAATTTTAGTCTCCAGCTACTCAATGCTTTGTGCGGGGAAAAAAATCTTTTGAGTGCCTGTTCCAAACTATTAAGCAGAACTTCTCTCTAAAATGTCATCTTTATTGGGGTTTTTTTCAGTGCTGCCACAGTTGCCATCACTAACTATTCTCTCATTTTTTATTTATTTTTGAGGAATAAGGACCATTCATTCCTTGTTTTGTAAAGTCACTTGCAAATTTTTATGTTGTTTATGCAAATTTAGGTTTCTAAGTTTGTATTTTGAAGAGAGGAGGGTGGTTTTTATACAGCACATCCCACTGGCTGAGAGAGTACAGCTTCATGTTAGCTTGTTCAAATTTTTGTTGCAGGCAGATATGACAAATCACAATTTGGGTTAAAAAAGCCATTTCATATTATGGAGTAATCCTAGATCACCAGACGCAGTAAAAATAATACTTGAAATCAATAGATTTTTAAAATGTGCCTCTCTACCTCCTGTCCCAAGATGACTTGAGAAACAGATGTTGGAAAATGATGATTCTGAAGAGCATATTCTTGAAGACCTTTTTCATGCATTGCTTGTAATAGAAGTATTTTGTATTCACTCTGGTCATATCTCACAAGATTTAGGTTCTACATTATCAGCAGCATGATACTTGAGATTTAATCTGTGTACCTTGGATTCCATAGCCTGACAGAATTAGGTAATGTATTCTGAATTTAAAATAAAATTTTGAAATAGAGTAATAATAAAAAAAACATACACAGGTAACCTTTTTCTCATCAGTTCTCTTTTTATCATAAATCAATAACAATGAAGTATAAACCACTCCTGGAGAAACACTCTGAAATGAACTCCATTGCAGTTTATGTAGGTGATGCTTATAACTTATACAAAAGCAAGTTTAATATTAGTCTTTGTCAAAATAGACTGCTCTGTGCCATCTACTCTTCTCTCTGCTTGGTGTCTCGAGCCATATTGGATTTGAAATGTCCGTGGTACAACGTCTCTAGCCATTTGCTTCTTCCTTGTGCTCAGTCTGGATTCCACAATAGTATTTGAGTTTGGGATGTTTGTTGGGTAAATGGATTCCAAAAGAGATTAGCAAATGGA